TATTTTTTTTATAGATTTTATTAGGGAGTTGGGGGAGGGAACAGCGTTGGTTAATCGGGGAAGGGGACCAGACAAGTTGCTGTCCTTTTGTTCTTCAGTCTAGTTGTGGAGGATGTCGCTTCACTGGCCCATGTTGGTATTATCATTGTGCTCTTCCCTGGTGAGGCAGTCGCTTGCTGGCCACTGGACGGCCACTCAAGGCGGCTTTTGGTAGCTCATGGCGGCTACCCGCCGCTCACGGTAGCTTACAGCAGCCCACTGCAGTTCCACTGCAGCCTACACCGTCGCCAGTGACTCACGGCAGCCCAGCTCCAGGTTGAGCTGTTGTTCACCATCTTAGCTATACAGGGCACAGCATCACTGGCCCTCATGTGGGATCAGAACTGGGACCCTGCTGCTCAGAGCTGGCGTCCCAAGCCAAGTCTTAACCAATGCACCACTCGGCCGGCCTGAGACACTGACTTATTGAACATTGTATGCTTATTATTCTCCCCCTTTCATGCAATCTTGGAATATATTTCAACTTAAAATGAATAAGAAACCCCCAAAACATAACACTTCTTTTGAAAAATATAGGCATACAAAAAACATTAACTGTAGAAAGGAATAATAATAATTGGACAGATCCTATATTTCAATATTAGTTAATATTAGTTAAATTGACACAGTATTAAAACCATGCTCTTTAAGTTCAAGTAAACCGTTCCATTCCCATATCTAGCAGGTTTATACATATTTAGCATAACAACAATAACAACAATATTAAGTAGTATTAGTTAAACCCATGAGTGCCAAGCACTGCTAAATATGTAAAAAATGTTTTGTTTTTTTGTTTGTTTTATTGATGAAGAGATGGTTTTTAAACAAGCAGAGGAAACTGCAGTTACAAAGGTCTTAAGGCTAGAAGGAGCTTGTAATCAAGGAGCACAAAAGGGGTCCTTTTTTTTTTATTTCTACCACAATGGGAAACTGTATGTTTCCTAGGATCCCAGCAGGAAAGACAGGACCCACTCTAGGGTTTATTGAAAAGAGTTTGATGAAGGAGCCATTTACCTGCGGTGTGTGTGTGGGTGGGGGAGGGCGGGGATGGGCGGGCAGGGGGGTGGTTAAGAGAATCAACAGGGGATGGTGCAGTACCTGGGCTGCCAACATTGGGGAGCCTTTACCCACTAAACCTGAAGGGAGGTGGGGATGAGTGTTTTCCTGGAACCAGGTAGAGCTACAGCTATGGGTCAGGGGTATCCTGAGAAGAGCAGTGGCTAGAGAGAAACTCAGCCGCTGCCCAAACTGGGGGTAGATGAGGAAAATACCCCCACTTTTCTCTCCTTCCACCCTCTGATTCCCATTGGCAGAAGCCAAGTGGGAGCCAACCCCAAGGAAGCCCAGGTGACGGTGCCCACAGGGTGAGCTTCATTAGGGGACACAGAGCAGAATGGAAAACTGTGACAAGTAGTTAAAAATCTGTGGAGTGGAGGGTAAGGAGAATAAACACTGCTGTTTTAGGTGAACTTAGAGATTTCTACAGCCCTTTCTGAGCCAACTCTGTAACAGGAGTGAGTTGGGCTTGAAAACTGACCCTGTCCCCAGTACTGCCTGCAAATATCTTATTGACCCAGAGCACTCACAGGACCTGTCACTATGGAAACCTGATACTCAGGCTTGGCCACCTCTGCCTACCATCCATACCATACCCCAAATCAAAGAACTGGTCCAACCTGTGACCAGGCGGTGCCCAAAAGACAAGGTATCACTACATCTGTTCGAACCCCGGCCTCAGCCTCAGTCAGAAGAGGGTGGCAGGGTCCCTCGAGACCAGAAGGATGTTAACTGGGAGTGAAGTCGTCACTCCCATCTCTGGGCTCCTAGCAGTTGGCTCCACCAGACACGACTGGCCCTGAGGGAATGCCACAGCCATGGGAACTCAGTTCACAGCACTGCCTGGTCTCTGTCACTTGAAGGCACGTGAGGCCAACAGCATACAGCACATGTGCTCCTGGGTCCTCCCTCAGCAGCACCCATGGAGAAAGATACACACCCACAGGCACCCCCCCCCCATCATATCCAGATACACACACAAATTCACAGACAGGTACAGATACACACCACAGATGCTCATAGTCACGCCCCCACAGCACTTTCCACCATGCCTCAGCCCAGGTCTGACTACCCCTGCCAATTCTTTGATTCTTCTAGTATTGGTTTTCCTGATTGTCCCAGAAGGAAGGTTTGGATGCCTCACAATACTCTCTTGTGGATCCCTGAACCTCTGTGGAATAGAGGGTCTTCTTCATTGCTGTGCCTCTTTTCCAGAGGGGAAGTTCCTGAAACAAATATTGAAGGGAGAAAGGGAGGAAGGAGGGAAGATAGAAGGAAGAAAAGAAGAGAAAGGAGGTAGGAGGGAGGGAGACACAGACACAGACATGATAAACATGTGACAGTATAAGTAAGTCAGGAGCAGATTCAGGCTTCAATGGGCCTGGTGTTTATTCAATGGGAAGGGGAGCTGTTTTTCAAACACAGAAGACTAA